TAAGCGGAGTTCGCTTGGCATGTCCAAGCCCTGCAAACCTCCCAGCAGGTTCTGAACAGTCAGTGCTGACATGACGCCTCTGGTGGAGTAAGTGGCACTGCCTATGTGAGGTAACACCACTGCACAAGGAAAAGAGGAAAGAAAAATGAAGGTCAATCATTTACATTTTTGCTTATAAAAGTGCCTCTGCAAACCATAAACTTCAGTGCATTTTGTGGAGGTTTTTATTTGACTGACCAACACAAAGTAGTACAGAATTGTGAAGTGGAAGTAAAATGATTTATTTATGCCATTTTTAAAAATTCTTTGCAAATAAAAATCTGAAAGGTGTAGCACGTATGTATGCAGCCTGCCTGATTCAATGACTAAATAGAATAGATTTGCTGCAATTACAGCTGCAGGCCTCAAGCCTACAGCTTAAACTCAGGCAGACTGAACAGAGAGCATTTGTGCAAATCAATTTTTAAATAAGATAGACTTAGGTTTAGGTCTGACTGAACCATTCTAATACATGAAAATGAATTGCTGTAAACCCTTAGATGTCTGGCTGGGTGTTTAAGGAGAGTGTTGTGGTTCTCAAGATCTGCCTTGAGACCAAATTTTCAAAGCCTTGGTTTTAGCTTTTATTTTTATTTTTTTTTAGCCTCAGATGTTTTGGTTTCTGAATTTTCCTCAAGACAAGTTAAGCCCACAGTAACACAAGCCTTTTTTTTACTGCAACTTAGTGTGAAACTACTAGCTGTGTTGTGAGAAGATAACAGGAATGAAAAAAGAAGAGGGAGAAATATTTCCCAGCGTAACTGTACAGACATTTTTCTGTCTATACCACTAATCTGGAGCTCACTTGTAGGTTAGCTTGATACTAAGCTGCCACTACTGGCAGAAATTTGCAGTGACAAAATGTGAAAAAAGTTCACGGGGTATAAATACTTTTGTACTTACCACAGTTTTTCAGGGTAAGAAGCGGGTGGTTTGTTGGGAGAGGCTCAGGTGTTGTAACATCCAGGCCGGCTGCAGCTATCTGTCCGCTCTTAAGAGCCTCATAGAGGTCTTCCTGGTTCACCACAGCTCCTCTAAAACAAAGAACTAGTTACATCGCCATCGTCATGTATCGTCGCAGCAAAGATACCAGAAGGCGGCCTGCATCTGCATGTCTGGCCCTCCTGTGCAGCCTTTAAATGTCTACCTGCTTGAGTTGATGAACACTGCAGTTTTTTTCATCTTGCTGAAAAATGCCTTGTCACACAGGCCCTGAGTTTCTGGTGTCAGTGAGCAGGAAACCACAACGAAATCACTCTCTGACACAAGCGTGTCCAGGGGAACTGCCCAACAAAGAGGAGACGGAAATAAATGTAAAACGCAGATGATCGAATGCACAAATTAATTTTTAAACTAATCCTTGGTACTATGGTTAAAAATTTGACTTTGTCTGCGCTGCCATTTCCTCCTCACCATACTTTCCTTAATTCCCACTTTCACTTTGTATCACTTCCAATGGTTTTCTTACCAAACTCTCCATTCACCTCTGCGGCGTGGGCTTTAGCCGTCCTTCCGGCATACAGCAGTCTCTTAACCCCAAAAGGAAGGAGTCTCTGAGCTATGGCCATACCTGATCACAAAATATGCAACCAAAAGTCTCACGTTTACAAGGTCAAGTCATATAACTTCATGTTATTTGGACAACACAGAATCTGCCACGTAGATCTCCAGCTTCCAAGCAGCAACAGAAAAACAAACCAATGCGTCCCAGTCCAATGACCCCGACAGTGCTGCCCGACAGGCCGTAACCGCACAGCCAGAGAGGTTTCCATGAGCTCCAGCCACCACTACGACAAAGAGAAACACCTTTATCTAATAAGAATGTAAATTCAGGCAGCTGCTGCCGTTTCAGGTTAGAAAGTAACAGAAACACAAATAATAAAAGTAATTAGTATAAATAAGTAACCCAGTGAGGCTAACTTTTTGACCTCCTCCACTCCCTCTGGTAACCGGCGAGCAGTGGCCAGGAGCAGAGCCACGGTCAGCTCTGCGGTGGCGTCGGTCAGGACATCCGGAGTGTATCCGACACGTATGCCGCTGTTAAAAGGGAAAGAAAAAAAAAAAAAAAGCTGAGAAAGCGTGAAACATTTCCTTTCAGTATATTTGTTTCATTTACTGAAGCTCACCGCTTTTTGATCTCATCTAGAGCCAAGTGGTCGAATCCCACAGACATGGTGCTGATTACTTTTAGGTTTGGCCCTAAAATCAGAGAGGGAGCAGCTGAAATGTTGCGCAGACTTTGTTTTAACACTGGATCAGAGAAAAAAAAAATAGACTAAATTCTTCAATAAGTTACAGTGCCTTGTGAGTGTACTCATAGACCTATATGTGTTTTTTGGGGGGAGGTCTGAAATGAAGCAGCACATGACTGTGAAGTGAAAGGAAGAGAAAACATGGTTTCAAAAGGTTTTTTTTCTAATCTAAAAGTGTGTCACACATTTGCATAGATCTACTCTGATACCGCTGAATAAAACACAGTGCAACGAGTTCTCTCCAGTTGTTACCTAATAAGTCAACAGAGTTTGAAATTTCCTACATTGCTGGAGGCTAACACTGCACGTCGCTGTGAAAACATCATCCACACTGTGAAACATAGAAGTGGCAGAATCATGCAGTGGGAATGTTTTTCTTGAACATGCAGACCACATTTTTGTTTGGAAATCCTTCTGAAAAACAAGTTTCTTTTTCCTACCGCTTTGTGTTGCTCACTCACATATAATCCATTTAAGTACATTGAAGTTTGTGGCTGTAATATGTGAACTGTGATGGTTTGAGCTGTATGGACACTTCTTCAAGGCAATGTAAATGAAACAGACTTACTGACATCTGCCACTGTGACAAACTAACCCAAGAGTTTAAGGAAATGAGCAATGCAGTTCTATTTTTGTAGAAAAAAAATCATCTGTAAGTCGCTGTATACCAGAAACATAAAAATATTTTTCCACTTACTGTTTTATTTAATGGTTTAGTTAGATTTTTTAAACAATTCTCAGCAACAACCTTATGAGTCCCTCTAACTTTAAGTTTAGCCACATTTAGCTATGTTTAGGTGCACTACTTTTGCTTTTGAGTGAAAGCAAAAAACATATAATATTAATAAAAGACATAATTTGTGGTTAACCAACATTTAAAGAGCTACAAAGGATCCCTGGGATGTACTTTGGGTATCATGTCACACAAATGTATTATTCTCAGATGCATGTGGATAGTTGCTCAGATTAGGTGAATAGGTGTTGCTATCAGAGCGATGCCTACCTGCAGCATCCAGGACCTCAGCATCGATCTTGTCTGACAGCAAACACAGAAGACCATGAGCTCCCTGGACTCCTTTAAGAAGCTCTGCCCTCGGGACAGGCTCATCCGAGTCCCACTGAGACACCTCACAACTGTTTGAGTGGAGACAGAAATGAAGGTAAAAATGACAATGGGATTTATTGTCACTATTGTAAACTAAATGAACACAGACAGTCATCTCAGCTGAAAAAACTGTCAGTAGAAGATCGTATGAAAGCACTGCAAACATGCTGACGTTTTATGTAACTTGGGGTCAAATTATCTCAATACACGTGAGCGCTAACTAGCAGGTTTTTAGTTTATTGTGCTGCTTGTTCTTTGAGACCGTTATAAAACTCTCCTTACACGCCAGTCGCTCCTGAAAGGATCTCCGTTCCCTCTTGGGGGATGCGCCTCGTTATGAAAACCTTCATCAGTCCCCTCACTGCTTTCATTACAGTTCAGCGACACAAGTTCTCTGAACTCTCTTTCGGGTGGAAAACGACCGACTGCTGCAGCTTTAAAACCATGTAACCTTCAGTCAGCCCGCCTACCACTTCTTCGGTAGGCGGGCACGACACAGGAAGTGCCCAATTTTATGCTTAGTGCGCATGCGCAGAGTCTTTACCCCCCTGCCCCCCGTGGGAGCAAATCGCTTCCACTTTAGTTCAGTGTGTGAAGATTGAGAAGAAGAAAAAAAGAGAACCTCTTGAATATTATAGAAAACGCTGTTACTGTTTTAATGCAAAGCACAACACAGCGTCAGGCGGAAAACGACTTGTCTTTGAGCTCATTAGAGTAGAAAAGCGTTGCGCAATTTCCGAAACATAATATTCAGACAGAAATCAAACTATCTTAATCAGTAAGATATCCAGTACATGTGGATTACAGCAAGCAAGTTAACCACATTGTTTTATGTAAACATAATTGGCTATTTTGTACTTAAAGATAGTTGCAATGAAAAGTAAATATTTATGTCTTTCATACGTTTAAATATGTTTTCGATTGTTTGATCGCAATATTTATGTTTTTTTGTTATTTCAAGGTATTTTTATTAGTTCCAATTGGTCTCCAGGATATCATGTTAGACGTTTTAAATAATTCTGTACTTTTTATTTTATTTTTGTAATAATAATAATAATAATAATAATAGTAATCTGCGTTAATATAAATGTTATGTTAAACTCAAGCATTCTTGTGGATTTTTGCTGATAGGTTCCTTGTCTTTCACGCCTTTTCCTATATGAAGCACAATGGTGGCAGCATCATGCTGAGGATATGTTTGTCTTGAGCAGAGGGTGAAATTCCTGACCTAAATCCAATGTGTGTCACTGGTGCTCGCTATCAAATCTGGCAGATTGCTAAGTACCGATACAAAGCAGTCAGGGAGACGCTCCAAAAACATTTGCAGCTATAAAAGATGGTTCATTGGGCTAAATACAATCTAAATCACGTTCGATTTCTACTTCCAACTAAGACATTTTGAAAACACATATTTTCTGCCAATGTCTGAAACATAAAAATGCCATTAAGATACATGAAAGTTTGTACATGAACACTTGACAGATTCCTTCCACTCAACGTCTGAATCGTCTATCTGATAAAAGTGAGTAAAGTGACTGCTAAACGGGTTAATTATTTTTAAAGGCTTCCTGTGAGTGGCGTCACCACCACCACCACCTCCTCCTCCTCCTCCTCCTGCCCAGCCCGGCGGAGCAACGGCCGCTCGCTCGGCTGTAAATGGTCTGTCGACGGCAGCAGAGGGCGGAATAAGGAGCTCTGGGTACGGAAGGCTTACCCAGACGCCAAAACAGGAAATTAGAGCGGAGGACCCAGTCTGGAAAGGTAGGATATCGACTTATTTCTAGTAAGGGATTCTCATTCCCGCTGCCTTTGGAGAGCAGCAGTAAAGCCTGGCTGGGTTAGCTCGACCTGCTTGCAGCTGGTTCACAGATTCCGCTGCTGATTTGTTGCGTGCTTGTTCTGCTGCTGTGACGAACCCCGGAGTTACTTTTAGCGCACTTGTTAATCAAACTGTTTATTTACGAAACGGCGAAATGTCAACAATACAACATGAGTATAATTTATCAGCAGGGCCGGGGGCTTAAAAAGCGTAATTTCTGCCGTATATTGCAGGCGCTGCTCCGCTGCTCATACAGTGATGGGCAGCAGACCACAGTACACACTGTGCTTTGCATGAATAACGGGGAAAGCTGGCCAGGAAATTCTGTATTTACTGTCATCTGTTGATATAGCTGCCCAGTTATTGACATCCTCCGATATTACTAACTCCTTTGCTTAACCAGTCTACGTTAAGTAAACTTATCAATATATAGGTAACCTTTTTTTTTTTTTTTACTTCCCTTTATTTGTAACATGTTATATTTAGGCTATTATAAACTGAGTCAGTTTAAGCTCAGAAATGTTGCCCAATGGTTTAAAAGTTATATATAAATGAATTAGTTGCATTGCAGTCATCATTGTAACTCAGTGTGCGCATTAAAAGACTGAACTTCAGTATTTGCAGTGCATTTATAGGAAATTTGAGGGGAAAAAAAGCTCAAAACAACAAAGTATATTTTGTTTGTTGTTGCCTTTGTAGATCAGAAGTGACAGGATGTGTTTCGTTTGCTTTGAATAAGTAAATTAGGAAAAAAGTTCTTCAGTATTTTACCTGCTGATCAGCGTTCAGCGTTTTAGTTATTGTTATATGCAAATGGTAAATTGAATCCCAAATAATAGAACACAAAAGATGACAAACTATTTGGAGGATATTTTAAGGAATAACCCATTTTTAAATATTCCTTATTTCTTTCTAAAAACTTTTTCATTTAGGATGTTGTGCTGGCTGCATTGTCAATCATATTTAGAAAACTCTAAAAAGAAAGGTGATAAGTAAGCTCGTTTCAGAAAGAAGTCTCTGGATTTTTTTTTTTTTTTTTTACACAATAGGTTTTGTGGTAGGAGTATTTTGTTGTAAAGACAGACAAGGTTTCCCCCACAAAACTTGCTAAGCCTGGTGGTTGGGTGCTAGGGCAGTCATTCATCCAGCGCCCATCATGTTTTTGAGCTAGAAAATGTTTAAAGTTGACACAAAATTTTGATAATTATGTGTTATTAAAATATTGGAAGATCAATACCTGAACACCAACTATTAAGTCTTTAAAATGCAAGTATTTTAAAAAGACTTTAAAAAAAAGAAGAAGCAATGCTTAGCCTGGTGGGAGCACAAGTAAAGCCTGGTGGCCTGCCAGGCTTATGATATACTGGGGGAAACTCTGAAAGATCATTCTCAGGTCAGTTCTGCCAACTTATAATGCTCCTTCTGTCACAGCTGTTGCACAACCCCAAAGCATCATAGAACCAACACCATGCTTGTGTAGTAAGGGTCGTCAAACAATCAGTTTTTATTTCTCAAAATATATATATTCTTATTTAACCCTTTTTTTTTTCAAATTCAATTAGGACTTTTGATATATTAATCTGCAAACATATGTAGTATTTGGGAATGGTTTTATTATGACCACTTTAAGATGAAGGTTATAAATGTTCTGAAATAGCTCTATAGTAGGAAGGTGCTCCAACATTTCCAAAGTTTGATAAATCAGCCAGAGATTATAGTCTGGAAATTTTCCCTTAAACAGAGGATTTGCAGATAAAATATTGACGAGCTGAATTTTTTAGTAAAAACTTCCACCATTTTCATTTCAGATAAACAACATGTACTTCACTGCACTTTTTTCTGAGCTTAAAAATATGTCAGATAGACATTAGGACATCTGCGCTTTGCATAAATGGGAACGATTTTATAATTTCTTGAATTTCTGTTGGATTTATAGTCCTTGCCTGTATCAAGCACACTATAGCATGTTCTTTTTTTTTCTTTGTCCTAGTCAAAGAAATTCACAGGTCAGGTGTCAAAGAAAGTTGATAATCTGGTTCAGCCCAGATTCAGCGTATTTCTGGTTATAGCATCTTACAGAAACTCACGGCTGCATATTATGAAAGAAGGTTTTAAGAGTAAGAGATGTGTGAGGGAAATTTGCATAATCTGATCTTTCAAAATAATGTTCCATAGCCGTACCACATTAATTACTCTGGATTATTATTATTTTTTTTTTTGCCTCGCATGAAATCACTTCTGACGACTCATGTTATGTGCTGGCTTTTAGTACGTGTTGAACCAAAAGTTATTTCGTACGGCTGTTTAGTTGTTGTTATTGCTCTTTCATATTTCATTGCACCACTGCAAAGTATTTTATCCTTAGTTGCATCTAGCTTGTGAAGAACTTTGTGCGGCATGAGCTGTTTGAAATGTCCTATATAAATAAATTTGACATTAGCATTAAAAGCTGTGTAATTCCAACTGCTCTCATCTTACTTGCAATAGATTCATTTTTTTCTTGAGCAGCTTTGTGCATTTTTTTTTCGACATCAGTTCTTCAAAAGCGGCTTCCTCTTTACAGTGACAGGAGTGTTGTTGCCCAGACATTTTTGTCCAGCCATTTCTTATGAGGTTAGACCTTTGGCCATGTTGAAAGATAAAAAGATATAACTCGTTTGAAAGCTCTGGATAGTGTAGTGTTATCAAAAACACAGTAAACAAAACCATATGTATGTTATTTAATGTATCTAATCTAACCTTATTATCTGCTTGCAATTTCAGAGAAAAAAAAAAAAAAAAGAAGTGCCCTAGCACCAACGGCTTGCTGTTGGCTGAGGAACCTGCAGAACCTGTCTGGGCCTGCCAGAAACCACTGGCCCGCCGGAGTAAGACTTGTACTGTGCAATGGCTCTGTTGACCTTGCACAGGATCCCATCCATCTCCACCTCCCCCGTGAGTCTCTACCCATCTCCATGTTTACTGTCTCCTCAGATATTCAGTTGTTTACTTTATCTGCACGTCGATCAGAGCGTCTGTTTGTGCAGAGACCTGTTAGGTCTCTGTGTGTGTGTGTGTGGGGGGGAGACGAAAGAAAAAACAACCCTCTGAATGTGTCCCTTTGTGGACACCCGCACAAGGATGATGAGCCCTTTGTTTATTCATTAACCAAGGATTTGATTTCACTGATTGATCTTACCGCACAGAACATTAATGGAAGCAAATGAATAGCGTTATTTCTGTCTGAATGCTTTTTGAAGCTGTTAAGCACATGCACATAATCATGGAAACACATTATTGTTGACCATTGTTTTTCTACTATCTTCTCTCTTTCACTCTCTGTCACACAGTCATGGAAATAATGTCAAAAGTCTGACTGTTCTGTTCTTTATCATCGCCCACTAAACCATAAATGACTTAACTCCAGCTCCAAGTCTCATTCTTTGCATATTTTGTCACTGAATCTAATCACCAATTATCTTAACTTGTTTTCTCCTTTTTTTTTTTTTCCTTCTTCAACCCCTCCTCATCGTTCCCCTCCTGGCTCCTGCCCACTTCTCTTTAATTTTCTTTTCTTGACTCTGTCTGGACTTGTCAGTTGCGTAAAAGGTAACGTTACTGTCTCATGTTTCTTTCCATGTAAACTCGTTTTCTCCAGTGCTACTGCTACTTCTCTCTTGTTTCTCACCCCTTCTCTTTTCTTGCTACGTGTTTCATTTTTATATTTCTTCTTTTTCTTCTTTTTCTTCTTCTTCTTCTATAATTTGGCTGTTTAGTTAAACCCCACCTCCAGCTTCCATTTTAACGATGTTTACATATAAGTAATATGTTTCTCTTTAATGTTCATGATGAAAAAAACAACAGAATTAGTTTGCCATTTGTTTGTCTTTAATCAGAAAAGAAAGATGGGAGGTCACTTGAAGCAGTGTGTATCAACGCGTAACGTTTTTATTTAGGCTAACTATAAAAACGAGAATGCAATATATATGAAAATATGTGTTGTAAGAATTAGCATCTGTAAAAGAGGGAAAACATTTTGTGCATTCATTACAATGGGCTCTGTTTTTAAAATATACAAATTATCAGATAGGATTAGAAAAAAGGATTTGAAATTATTTTTATTTCATAAATGCATTTATTCTGACTGAATAATTGAATTCTACTTTCTTCAAAGTCAAAAGTTTACACGCACTAAGATTTGCTTTTTTGCTTTAGCAATTTTTAAAGCTTTGTCTGCTTTTGCTAACTTAATTTACAACATTGGTATTAGTTGTGGCAGACCTGTGGATGTGTGTTAAGGCATGATTCAGACCATTTCCCTGTGAGGCAGCTTGGGAAAATCTAAATAAATAAGAAAAGACAAGTGCCTCCACAAATCTGGTTTCCAGATTCCTCGAGGTGCCACATCGATCTGTTCGGACAAGAATTGTCCGAATTGAAATTGACATTTGAAAATGTCCTGCCACCTTACAGTTTCCCAAGGAATCAGGTTCTGTTTGGTGTGAATCAACCCCAGCATGTGCTGAAGGGCCTCTATGAGGAAGAGGCCGTCACTCCACAAGCAAGATTTTTAAAAATCCAGATTACAGTTTGCAAATGCAAGCGCTGCTTTTTGGAGGCATGTCCTTTGGTTTGATGAAACCAAATGAAAGTGTGTTTGTCCATGATGTCCATTGTTACATTTGGAGGAATAAGAGAGAAGCTTGTAAACCTGAGAGCTTCGCTCCAGCTGTGAAGTACAGAGGTGGCAGAATCGGTTAGCAGTTAGCGGCAGGATGGACTGGCACACTTCACAAAATAGATAGAATCACGAAGAAATCAGATTACGTAGAAATATTAAGGTGGTATCAAAAGCCTCATTGGTGAAGTTAAAACATGGGCACAAACGAGTCTTTCAAAGGGGGAGGTGCAATATGCACAGCATGTTTATCCCAATGAACTGACTCATTTGTTTAATGCAGAGTAGAAAGGTATTAGAAGATGGCCAAGTGGTTATGTCATGAAAAAACCGTAGGTTGTTTTAGTTCCCAAATCGGCCAGAAGCAACTTTTTCAGTAAAATCTTGTTTTAGAGATAGAAATATTAAACTTTTTTTAAATTATGTATCTTTTTCAGCTGCTCATTATCTCACATCTATGTTTGCTATAAACCCAAAGCAGAAAGACGTAAACTCTGTTGAATTGTTATATTGGTATCGCATTATTCACCAATAGCACTCCATATTGCTTGTCTATAGTCGTGCAGCCCCCGTGAAGGACAACAAAATGTTTTGGTGTGGCCATCGTAAAACCCTGATCTATAATAGAAAATATGTGGGCAGAGCTGAATGAAGGTGTGTGCGAACGAGGCGAACTACAAACCTCACTCAGTTCTGACAGGAGGAGTGGGGCAAAACTCCAGCAAACTATTAAATGTTGCACACTGAGCTTGTGGAAGGACATCCAAACTGTTTGACTTTAGTCATACAGTTTAAAGGTAATTATGTCAAATACTGTAAACTTTTGAGTTTGAAGGAAGAAATAATAAAAACTGCAAAAGAAAAGTATTATTCTTGGATTTTGTCGTGATTAAATGAAAGGAGGGAAAGTTTAACACACATGTACATTCATCCAAGAACCTTGGCTGAAAATGACTCCAGCATGCACAAGCATAATGGATGCTATACATAATATTACTGAAAAGCCCATTTATTTCATGGTCAAAACATTATAAAGATTAATTTACACACAGATACATGTTTGAAACCTTTCTTCTTGTTAATTATGATGATTTTCCACTTACAGTTAATGAAAACATGACATTTTCAATTAAAATATTACATCAAAGCAACAAGCTACTTTAAAAGGCAATTTTATTTATTTTCAAAAGGTGCTTTTAATCTGACAAGCGAGTCTTTGTCGTAACATATATTCTAATTTGTTGAATTTGACTGTATATTACTCTGCCACCTTTCTTATGAGGTTTTCTTTTAAATGTATTTACTTTGAAGGATGAAAGCTTCCAAAGAAGAGGACGACTTCAGAAAAGGTAAATATCTACTCATTTTCCAATAACCCTAACATGTTTTTTTTTAGTTTTTTTTTTTAACATAGTCATATAAAACGAATCACTTTGTGTCTGTCTGTTTCCAGAGAGAGCTTTGCTCTCGTTAAAGGAGCTGTCCTTCTGCTGGAAGATGACGATGCTCGGGGTATCAAACATGACACTTCTTCCCAAGACGTGACTTCTCCTGTGAAAAAAGGCAGTGGAGCGTCAGAGACACAGCACAGACACCTCCATGCCATGCTTGAACAGCTCAGACCGGAAGACACCATCAAGCTGGTGAGCCCCGGTGTTGAAATGCATGTTACACACAGCACCCAAAATGATCGGTTTCTCTGATTTTACTCTTTATAGGTGTGTGTTTGAGTAAAATGAACATCTTTTTTTCATTCTGTGGACTACTGACAACATGCCTCTAAAACTCCAATCAAAAATTTAGTGTTTATTTGCAAAAAATAAGAGATGGCCAGAATAATAAAAACGACACAGTGCTTTCAGACCTCAAATAATGCAAAGAAAACAAGTTCATATTAATTTAGAAACAACAGTACCAATTTTTTTTTAACTCTGGGGGAGTTCAGAAATCAACATTTGGTGGAATAACTATGAGGTTTTCAAAGGGGTTCAGTGCAGTGGTCTCTTAATTTTTTCCAGAGCTATTTATGTAATTAGTAAAGCCTAAAACTTGAAGAATGGGAAGAATTTGTCTTACAATCACTCCTTAAAAATTCAATTTCTAGGCTACAAGGTTGGGGTTTTGATTGAAAAAAACAAATATCTTTTGCTGAAGCCAATTTGTTATTACTGTTCTGGAAAAATGGCTTTATGATTTTAGCTATGTTTCAGACGGCCTCACACTGTGGATATGATGGATACGGTTCATGATCTTCCTTTTTCCTTTAGCCTGATGTTTTCCTACCTTATCTCACAGTTTTTCAAGGAGAGAAGTCAGCTTATGATACTTTGTAACATGTGGAGCCAGATAAATATTTTTGGTTCCATCAGGCGTCATGAAAGCATCATTTATTTTTCTGCATTGACTAGTCCTGTGGCTCTGTCTTGTCACCCAGGCGGTGGAGCTGGAGTCGGTCAGCACGGTCAGAGTCAGGTATCTGATCGTCGTCTCCACGCTGGCAAGCAAACAGGAGAGCATTCTGCTGGGCATGGATTTCCCCAGCTCAGAGAGGTGAGGGTAACTTAGATGGCTGGTGTACTGTTCCACAGGCAGTGCACAGGATAACAAAGTTTGCTTTAACCCTGCCAAATCCAAATTCCGTACCTGCACCGTGTCTCGTTGCAGCACTCACTGCACTATCGGCTTGGTCCTGCCAGTATGGAGTGACACACAAGTGTATCTGGACGGAGATGGGTGAGATACGTTTTAAAAATGTAGGACTGAAGGATTTGAAGTGAAATCAGTCTGCAGTCTGGTATTTGGGATTGCTTCCAGAGACATGTTATTTATAGAGTTGACTCATTTGCTATAAACTACACATGCTCACTCTCTCAAAAACTCTTACATAAACATGAAGCTCGTGTGTTCACGGAGAGTTCAGCAGCTGAAAGCTTTAGTGGTTCTGCCGTCGCGTTAAAAGCATCAAGTGTTCAAGTGTCTGTAGAGGAGCGTTGGGAAACAGGCTGAAGCATCCAGGCTCACGTGGTGCGAGAGCTGTCTGCTGTGTATTAACCGATCCACCGTCACATGCCGAGTGTCACACAAGAGGCTTTGATCGGTTGCCATGTCGCACCAGCGCGTTCACCCCTTATAAGGCCGGATCACACCTCTCGCAGTGTCGGTTTTTCTTCTTTCTCGCTGCCTTCACATTTTCATTTTTCACTTTGCTCACCAGAAATGTCACTGATTTGCAGTGAAAACGTCTTTCTGCCCTTTCTAGTTGCCTGTGTTTTTCCAGCATTTGTTTCTTATCAGATTTTTCTTCCTCCTTATCTATGTCTTCTCTGGAGTTTGTTATCAGAGTTCATATCTGGGTTTTTTTTTTTTTATGTTTTTGTTTGTTTGCTTTTCTTTTTGCAGTGGTTTTAGTGTGACGTCAGCAGAGGACACCAGAAATTTTAAACCAGTTTCAATGCAGACCATGTGGTGAGTTCTCATGCTGATACAACAGAAGTAAAAACTACAATAAGAAGGAATTTCAGGGAGAGGCCAGGATGAGCTCAAATTTCATTTTTAGCCCCCCAGGCATTTCAGTGCTTTTTATTTCATGCCAGTTCTCAGAAAACGGAGTCAAACTGGAATAACAAAAACATTTTGGAAAGTTTCATCAAGTGCCTACCTGTTACCCCAACTACACTCTTAACCTGTTTTGGAGGTGTTTTCACACCTTGCAGTGGCCACTGGTCTGTGGTAGCAACACATTGGTCTCAAGCTACCACATTCCACAGAAGAAAAATGTAGTCTTGGATCTATGTCATTTCTTTGAAGAAATTAAAAGCTAATTGTTTCTGCAATCTGTTCGATCGCTCGCAGCCAAGTGAGCGATTTTCCTGCTGTTTTCTGAGGATTAGCTGTTCAGCTCCAGCATCCCAGTCCTCGCTTGGTCCTGACCCAATGTGGAAAAACCTTAATGGCATGAATGCATTTGCAGTAATGGGACAGTAAAGAACAGGCACAACCATGCAGTCATAGATTGTACTGTAGTCTTTTTTTTTTTTTTTTTTAGATTAGCATCTGTATTTAGAGCTGTCTGCTTGCACCAACTACTTGTTTAAATTCTCCACCCGTTTCGTCTCCTTTAAGGTCAATCCTGCAGGTGCTGCACGGCTGCTGCGAGCGGGCAGTCAAAGCAGCCTTAATCCCAGGATGTGGCCTGGAGTGGGCCCAGCACTACGCCCGGCAAATTGAGTCCGATCGGTTCTGCCTGAACGAGTGGGAGGCTATGAACGACCTGGAGTCGGTGCGAAGGGTCAGTAATGGAGAAAGGTGAGAGGGCTGTTTCTTTTTTTTTACTTTCATTTTATATTAGATTAGTGATCTGAAACACTCCAGCCAGAGGTGGAACAGGAAACTGTCTTCATGTTATTTACTTAGTTAAAGGTTGAAACACAGCCAGTTTAAACGGCTCCACAACAAGTAGGTCATGCATGAACAATCTTATCTGAATAGAAAGTGCATTTTGGCACTTTCTATTTACAAACAATTCTTACTCTGCAGATACAGCAGATAATGATTACATTTGCAGCCGTTCTTAAATATATCTGAACTGATCTATTTGCATTGAAGTTGATTAGCGTTTAGTTGTAATCGTGCTTTGTGACTGATTTCTAGTTTGTCATGTTTCACCTCTCCATGCAGCTGTAAACTTGAAATGAGTTGTACTGTTTGTCCTCGGTTCCTGTTGTGCAATGCAAATATGTCACAGCGTGTTAAAGCTTCTCTTTCCTTGTTTGAAAAGCTCTGTAGACAGAGTTTCCAATGAAAGGCTCATCAAAGAGCACCTGAGAGACATCATGAGGACCGAAGACCTGGACAACCTCACGTCCAAAATGGTAAGACGTGCGGGCAGAGGACCGAGAAGAGGTTTGCAGTTCTCAGACCAGCAGGAGGTTAAATATTTAACGAATGTGCAAATTTTGTTAATGTTTTTTTTTTTTTTTTTTTTTTTTTTGCCGGGGCACCCTAATTTGGAGTCCAGGATAGGGTTTGATATGAGACCCTACAAGGAGTACATTGATAATGAGATCTTGGTTACCATGGCTCAGATGGACAAACCCTCAAAAATATTCGATTACCTTTACCTGGTGAGTGTTTCTGTACCATGAGGCTGTAGTAAAGCTTACCACCATAAAGAGGGCTTTCCCTGCTACAGAGGTCAACAAATTGACAGAAACGAGCTTTTGCCAGGATGTTGTCACATGACCTTAACTTCCCCTTTATGGGAGATTGTGTGTCGACAGCGATAGGGAAGACAGCCTTTCCGCCTTCTTGTCTGTTTCACCAACTTTCTTTTTGAAACTATTGTTGTTTCAGGGCTCTGAGTGGAACGCAGCTAACTTCGAGGAGCTACAGAAAAACAAGTTGGTGTTTGTTCTTGCTTGCAACTAATCCCCACAGATCTGTCTACATGTCTCTGTGTCAGATTATTTAACGACGTGTGTAACTCAGAGCTATGCGTTTTGCTTTGCTGAGTCACTGATCTGCTTCTGTTTGTTTTTCAGCGTCGGGTACATTCTAAATGTCACAAGGGAGATTGACAACTTTTTCCCAGAATCCTTCACTTACATGAACATCAGAGTGTATGATGTGGAGGCCACCGACCTGCTCTCTCATTGGCCGGACACGTACAACTTCATCAACTCTGCAAGGTGGAGCTCGTTCACCAAACACAGTTTAAAGTCAAGCACCTAGAGTTCACAGTTCGGGCTGCATGATAGTGAGGAGGTTTGCTATTGCCACAGTATTTCCACCACGCTCCATGCTGGCCATAAAGCATATGTGCGCTCATCAGTGAGGATTTACAACACATTAAATTAGGGTTTTATTGATGCATTTTTTTTTAGGGATGAAATAATTATGCAACTAAAATCTTTTTAAAAAGTTATGTTTTCTCCAATCCACTCTGGGTCAAGACTGCTCTGAAAATGCATGCAAAACCCATTGTTAAGATAAATTACTTATTGGTTGAAAGAAAATCATTTAAAATTTCAAACAGCCAGGGGTGTGAGTAATTTTAGTACTACATTTATTTTAATTTGTGTTCAACAAACAGTTGGAATCAACACATTAGCCAGCAGACAAGAATATGTGGGAAAAACTAATTTATCTACTCATAAATTATTGTTAAATGTGATCCTCTGTGTTGACGCACTTTCACTTCTTCCTTTTCTGTTATTTTAGGTAGCTGGAAGTCGCACAAAAATGTGAACAATAGGTCTCAGAAAAGCTTTTAGGCAGAATTGGTCATCTGTAAACAGATTAAATTAATATTTTAACATTGGGCTACTTTTTTAACTCGCTCATTGCTGTCTTGAAACCTGATGAGTCATTAGGATAGCTTGACTATTACCACAAATATGGTGGAAAAATATGTCCCACACAAGCCTGCTTTCTTAAATTACAAACCAAAGACAACTATTTAGCAAAAAGTAAAAACTACTAATGCTTTAAAATGGCAAGTACAAAACCTGATTATATGTTCTGGCCAGTAGATCTGGCCATTATTTATACTTCCATGAATTTCCAAAGCCCTTTGATGATTCTCATTGAGAAGCTTCGTGACCAGACAAAACTTCTCCAGTCAGGCGACGAGTCGGCCCGTTTCATGTTTATAACATTTAGGTGAGATGTGTTGCAATTTGGACTTTGTCCTGGGTTTATTTGAACCCTCGGCACAGGTAGATAATCTCTGAGACAAACTTTGACATAAGTACGTTGATGGTATGAAGTAATTTTATTTCACCTCTGCAATTTGAAATGAACAGAACGTAGTTTGATCTGAAATTTCTCCTGACTGACACATCAGTAAGCCTGTGGCAATAAGCAATTAATCAGTTAATCACCTGATAAATTAAAATGAGCTCAATAATTTCCATTCTGATGGAAATTAGAAAACAAAATTGAAGGGTGATTTTGTTTAGACATCATAGTCCATTTTATTTATGGTTTATACTGTATGTGCTTTTTATTTTTGTTTAATTTATTGCTTTTGGTTGCTGTATTTTATTTTGGATATTTAAAATATCTTTCAGTTCCAGAAAGTGGCATCATTGTTTCTGAGACAATTTATAGTTCAGTAAAATTTGTTGCCGTAACAGTCCTACGCATCAGCACTAAAAGAGACAATGCAAACTTCTCTATTTTTCAGGCTTATTCTACTTTAGAGATTTTTGAAACTCTGAGTTCAGTTTATCCGACTCGTCAGAAGTTTCCCCCTGTAAGCGGCATCTCTCTTCAAAACCTGTTATATTGTAGTCATGCCTCGGTTTCTGCAGCACTCTCAGCCTCTCGAGTGATTGTCCCTCCTCTGTGTGTCACAGGAAGAGCGGACAGGCGGTGTTGGTGCACTGTAAGATGGGAGTGTCCCGTTCTGCATCCACGGTGATCGCCTATGCCATGAAGCAGCAGCACTGGTCTCTGGATGAGGCGCTTTCTTACGTTAGGGATCGGCGGTCCATCGTCAAGCCCAATGACGGTTTTCTGAAGCAGCTGCAGACCTACAGCGGTATCCTGAACGCAAGGTGGGGTCCGACGCCGTACGAAACAGCTGATATAAATATTTGTCCATTCTGATTTAATGAAACTGAGGAGCTGTGATGTGTTTGTCTTTGCAGCCAGCAGCGTCACAGCGCTCTCTGGAAGCCAAGACAGAAGTCAGTCCGAAAGAGCAAGGGAGAGGAGGTCGACAAGCCAGGAGGAGAGGACAATGATGAGGAGGACGAGGATGAGGATGAAGACGAGGAGGATGATGTCGATGAAAAAGATTCAGTCAGCCCGGATGAGAAAAATAATTCAGAGGAAGAAGTAATTTCATAATTTCTAAAACAAAAAAAAAACAAAAAAAATTCTTCAACATTTTAAAACTGACTGACTGATATCGTGTGATTCTCAAACACATTCAGGTGTTTGAAGAACCAAGTCCACAATCTGACACCCTGCAACTTCCCAGGCAGGAAGGAGCAAGTCCCATTATCACTATAAATGAACCAGACAAGGTGAGCCAACGAGGGTTTTTCACCTACGACGCAGCTGCAGATGTTGATGGTTGACTACGTCTCTTTATTCTAAAGGTTGTTCCGAGTGTGAGCCGCAGTGGCAGGATGAACCTCTTCTCCCTCATGCAGTCCATAAGCGAACTAGATGACATGGATAACAGACACGAACCGGTAAACAAGATGCTTATTCTCATCCTGAGTACAGTTTAGTTTCAGTAAAATTATTTCTTAAGATTCAGTTTTTTTGGGGGGCCAAATTTTGTTGGAATTTTCTGCAAACATGCAGATTCAGTTTGTCTACCGACAGGTAAATTTGATCAGTTATGGCATCATGTTTCTTACGTAAAATAATCGTTAAAGAAAACCTACAATGCTTTACAATATAAAACAGACGGGTTTCTGTTTTATATTCAGAAACAGAAGTAAGAACTTTCAGCACCAGCTGTGGAAATGTAACTTGGTGAAACTGTTCTGGGTCAGAGCTTTCCTGTGATTCCTCTTCAGAGAAATGCACCAAAAAATAGTGTGACTGAATAATTATTGTGTTCCTCATAGTTTCCAGAGCTTATCTGGTATAAATATTTTGCATTGGCAAACATTTTTTCACTTGAAAGTCGCACCAGCAGATATTAGGAAATATTTAAACAGACCAACACAAAATATCTTATCATTCTGAAAGGGGAAAGAAAATACAGTCTTTATTTTTTGTAAGTAAAAGGGCTCCTGTCCTTCAATACCCCTAAATGAAATCCAGTGCAACCCATTACCAAATCTCATCATAGATCATCAATTTGTTCTATGAAGGCCTCAGAAGTTGTTGGAGAATATTGGTGATCATAAAGATTAACGAACACAACAGAGAGTTCAGGGATGAAATTGTGGAGAAGTTTAAAGCAGGATTAGTTGATAAAACACTGTTCCTGCTTCCTGATCATTAATGTATGTAATTTGAAAATGTCCAAGTAGAGCATTTCCATATTTTATATAATTGAAAGACTTCAGTATATATATATTTTTCTTTCAGTAAAATGACCTCCATAGGTTTGAGCCCCACATAATTATAGACGTTCAAAACAAAAACCTGTTTATTCTGTCCAAAGCTTCCTGGCAGTCCGAGACGCTCTCCGAAGCAGCGGAGGCGCAGCCACGGCCGACGGGGGCTCACACACCAAAAAGCATGCGTTGATGTGTCACCAGAGCCGCGCTCCCTGCCAGACAGCGGTCAGAGCAAGCACCAATGCGAACAAGGAGAGGAACTATCAGAAGCACACAAGAGGGACAGGGATCAATAAAGGAAATCCCAACGGTGATGAACCCAGGAAACATGCCAAGGAAGGTCTGTTGAAGCTATAATTTACGTTTCACCAGCCCTTCATTGCACATCTGAGCTCCTACTAACACCTGGTCTGATGAGGTTCTTTCTGCAGTATTGCTGTACCTGTGGCAGACAGGATTCCGCATAGCTGATGTCACAGTCTGTCTAAGTGGTATTACGGTTATAAAGTGCTGTCATTATGACCAGAGCCTCCTTCTGCCCTAATGGAGCTCTCCCTTCAACACTCCAGAGAGCTCTATGCAATACCTGTAATCTCTCGTTCTCTGGCAAACACCGGGCATCAAGCTCCCACTTCTTCGCATCTTTTTCTTTCCAAAAGATATTTCTTGATGTCTTATGGAAGGATTTTACTGTATCCAAGCTGTGCGTTACGGACCACGTTAAAAAGCCAGTTTTATGGCGCATGCCTGATTGCCAAACTGTTTTTCTACATGCCAGTGAATATATTTAAATGAAAAGCTAATGTAAGGAACAATTGTAGACCATTTTATTTTTATTCTAATGTGTACACCAGGACTGCATGAGTGCCTTCAACCTGAGAATGACATATTTGCTGGTGTTTTTATGTTTTTACTATGAGGAAATTGTCCCATCTTGTATTTTTTCCTACAGTGTCTCACTTGGCTTCATCAATGTGACTTCCAGAGATTGTGCTTATTTACAATACATAAATATCCGTATATAATTGCTGGTGATCTGGGTGCATGTTTTTGTGATTATATACCAGCCTGTGAGACCAAATTGTTCAGGGTTTCTTTTGTGTGTGTGTGTGTGTGTTTATATGAACTTTTATTATCAGTTTATTATCCACCAGATGCTGATGTGGAATATTATTTCATGCTGGTGTTATTGAGTACAACCAAGCTAAGGCGTAATTCATTAAACCTGCATGTGCACAAATTTAGAGCATTTACATGCACTTTATAATCCCACACTGTTCACACTGCCTGAGGCAGCCCTGCACTGTACCGTGATTGGTAACTTTAAGTTGCACCCAAAGCTGGTCTGTTGTAAGTTCTTGGCTTTCTCCACCTCACTCTCGTTTACGAAACATTCAGAGTGACAAATAAAGAAATCACACTCCAAACATCTAGTCTCTTTATTAAACCACAAGAGATCAGGTATATTTATTTATCAGACAAAAGACATTATTATTCAAATTCTCATAATATTGCCTTTTGCTGTTGTCTCTCTAATGTAACTATTTGTACAGTAATAAAAGAACCTGTTTAACATACAATGAAATTTATGATACCAATATATGTGACAAATGATGCTCAAATTTAGGTCCCAACATATTTCCTTTTGGGTTCACTAAGGATGACTCCTCCCTGCTTCATTGCAGCTCTGAAGGCTTGAACCTGCAAGAAGAAGGAGATTGAAAATATGCATTTACTTTGAAACGGTGTGAATTAGTGATTGGTTAATGAGGAGTCATGAAACGTTTGGACACATTGAAAAAAACTATTGATGCCGTCACCGAATACTGACACCTGCTGGATCTTTAAAATACCTGCAGGCATGACCGAGTATATGCAATAATATAATTCAAGTCATTGTATTTTAGATTATATTATATTTTAATTTAAATTTGAAATATCTATTTTTAGATACGGTCAAATAACGTGAACATGTATCATCATGTGAAAATCTAAGCAGGTGTGCTGTGAATGCGGATGCGTGCAGACAGATTTCTTTTTCCCCTACAAACTTATTTTAAAAAACAAATTTCTCCAACGTTTTGAAATCGAGTCCGTTACGCTTTTTTGATACAAGTTCTCCGGCTGTAGAAAACATCTGCTCACAGGGCACAGATGAGGCTGGACTCTAAAGTGCAAAGAAATTGTAAGGAAAAAGAGGAAGAGGTTTGGACAGATTGTCTTTTGATTGCAAGTGAGTGATTCCAGCAAAAAAGTTTAGAGAAAAAAAAACAACTTAAAAGCCGGTGCATTTATTTACTGTCCTTTGTATTAGAAGAACTAAAATAATTACTCTTCAGTTGGGAAATTCAAGTTTTAGTCATTTAAAGTTCTTATTCCTAGAAAATATGGATAGCTACTTAGGATCTGAAAGTTTGGCCCATCTATTTTCAATTTGAATCAGATGGACTATCTCCTAGAAGTAATAAAAAATCATTGCACATCAGTGGAAGTAGTTAGTACACAAAGAAATGCACCAAAAAAAAAAAAAAACATGAGGCTTTCAAAAACAAAGTCATCCATCAGATTCTGCAGCCAACACTCACTCCCTCGGATCGGTACGTCCAGGGAATGGCCCGGTACACCATCCTCATGATGCCCGCCTGCTGGCATCGATGCGCCAGCACCTCGCCCACAGCCTGACACGCCGCCACGCAGTTTGTGGAAGCCAGCTCCTTCTTCACGGCCCACTCTTTGGTCGAACAGGTCAGCACTGGGACGGGAGAAGTGCAGGAGAACACTTCTGCTGTGACGTGACGTTGGCTGCGAGAAAACATCAACCTGAAAAGATGAACAAAACAGAAGTAGATGGTGTAGAGATTATTATTTTTTTAATTTAAAATGTTATTCTCGCAAGATGAAACAACATACTTTGTTCTTTGAAAAAAATTAATTTGGGTACACAAGTTTACATTTATTATGGGTGTTTCTAATCCACACACAAACAAAATATCCAATCCTTCATCTGGAAAATGAACAGTTCAGCTAAATCAGGGGGAATTCAAAATTAATATTACACTTAAGTCTCCAGTGAGAGGATAAAACCTATAAAAGTCCTAATATGAATGGAATAAACACAAACATGCTATGCAAGCTTACATGTATGTTTATATGTATATTTTTAAAGGTACATACAGTTTTTGTTTCAATATGTTTCATATTTTGTTTTAATTACATGGATAACTAATGTATTAATAATATTATCAACAGTCAGGTGATATTACTAAAATTGGCTAAATTTCCATAACTGGGGAAAGAAACATTTTCTTTCCCCTGTTATGAATAATAGTTGTTGTCGTTTCATAGTATAGCTGTGGATTCCATTACATAATTTGTAAGGAATAACGTGTGTCCAATACACACCTTATTGATACATTTCAAAACAAGTCCTATTTCTAGGGTCCTATAAAGTCCATCTTTTGATTCTGGGGAAGATTAAAACTCAAATAATCCTCTAACTTTGTTCTCATCATTTCAGTTTCCAGGCTTTTGTTCTTTTCAGCCTCTCAGAGCCTCGCTGTAAACAAAGAATTATCTTCTATATAATAATATTTTATTTTAAAGTCGTTTCTAATGTCATCCAGGTAGTTCATGTCTCATTTCAAGGCCTTTTTTTTTCCAGCTCCTGAGAGGTGTCAAAAGTCCCTTGAGATTGCTTTGAAGTTAATATGTAACATAGCCTCTAAAATACATCAGTATTTTACCGTGAACATTTGGAGAAATATTTAGGCAAAGTAGATTCAAAGAGCATCATGACATTGAAATAGCCTCAACATCACATACTGGAAACTCCCACTTTAAAAGGGGGGTGGGGGGGGACCCAAAGATCTCTTTTTACCTGTGGTAGAACTGCTGGTGAGGCCAGGTGGTCTTCCAGCCCCGGTCCTTCACAGCCAGCGCCATCCGCTCCAGGTTCCGCGGATTTCTGTTCACGAAGGTCGGGTTCACCGCTTCGTTTTCATTCGGGGTGGGCTCGGGCCGAGCTGCAGCCTGACCCAAACACCGAGCTGGTACCAGGAACAGCTAACCAGTTAGTAACAGCAGCGACTCAATGACAGCAGCACTATTTGTTGACTTACCTGAGTGCTTTGAAGCGACACCAGAACCACACCGCTGAATTTGACCCATCAACAGCCGAACACTCCGATTAATTTGCCTCAAAGCCATCTCTGTTTGACCTCTGCTCCGCTTAGACAGTCAAATTCAGTTTATCCGTGAACATCTAGACACACTTTGTGCCCTTAGATAATTTCAAACCAACTACCCTTTTCCTACACACTATTTTATAAGGTTTCACCGTGACAGAGGGAGCGCCATCTTTGAGACTCCAATAATATCCGGTTCACTTGACTGGGTGTTACTTGAAAAGAAGCACGGATAGAAACAGTCGATTATTCCGAAAAATAGAAACTTGAGAGGGATAACTTTGTGTAACATATGTATATTTTTATGCTTAATTGTTTATAAACAAGTAGGGGGAAAAAACATTTAAATTTACCCTTTCTTAAAATTTATCTTCAGACAATAAGGAAGCCCTTTTGGTTAGATTAACACCAAATGTATTTATTCGGATGCAAGATGCTGTTACCCTGAACACCATCACTATCCTGAAACATGGTGGTGGGGGCATCATGGTTTGGAAATTCCTCTCTTAATCATTCACGGGGAGTTTGGTTTGTGTTGATATGAAGATGGGGAAGGGGAGAGAAACAAATCGCTAGACACTATCCCTTGAGGTCTGGATTTGAGGACCCCTGGTGCAGACAATGACCATGAATATAATTCCAGAGCTACAATAAAGAGGTTTAGATCAAGTAATGTTTTTATGTTTAATTGCCGAGTCAAAACCTAAATTCCAGCTGAGAATATGTAACAAGAGCTGAAAATTGCTGCTTGTAGACTCTCAATTCAATCTGATTAAGTGTACTTTGTCAAGGACACTGGAGAAAATTTTATCCATTTGTGCAAAGCTGGTAGTAGGATACCATAGAAGATTTGCAGCTTGAATGGCAACAAAATCTGAAGGCACCCGTTTTCATTTTACTTAGGGGTATTGGTCCAAATGGTGTTCAATACAAATGCATACCAGGCTTTTCTTCTTATTTATTTTAGGATTTGAACTTGTAAAATATTTTTAAAGTGTTATATATTTTTTTCTAACTTAGTTATGTGCTACTTTGTGATAGATTATTACATAAAATCCCAACAAAATATAAACTTTAGAGAAGTTCACGGCGTGTGAATACGTTTATGTCCACGAGTTAAAAAAAAAAAGTAAAATTTAAAATGTTTAAGAAACAACAGGAAAGGCAACATGGATAACTACTAATAATGTGCCAAGATTCAACCTCTAACTTTGTCAACTTCAATGAAAGCTTTAAGAAATACATTTAAATGTTTACAGTGCATTTTTTGTAGGAACAATAAGATATTTCAATGCCGACTTATTTTTTTTATGGTTACAGTAACCAGACCTGTGTACTTCCCACATTTTTGATCACTTGATAAAACCAACATTTTACAACAGAAAGTGTGAATTAACAGCAAGTCCACAGGTCGAAAAAAGAAAAGAAAATAACACTTCACATAAAAGTAATCAGACAACCAACTTTATTTAATTTCCAATTTATTTAAATGTATACAGTTAAATGGCAAAAAAAAAAAAGACAAAATGCCAACTGAAAGGTTTTGTAGCGGTGATCTAGACATAACGCCTACATAAACAGCTCCAATAAGGCACTAAATATGTTGGGACATGATCATGAGGGAAGGAGTCTTTGGCTTATGAATATCATTCAGACTGAAACATTCATCAAGTCATCAGTGTCGGATTCCCTTAAACAGCAAAACAGACTCATCTGCAGATGTGCTTTCCCTTTTCATAATTCATGTTTGCAATTAATTCAATTAGAGAGCATCGTGTAACACTGTTTAAATTATTACGAAGGGGATCCGAAAGTGTATTTTCATACAGTAACGTCATAATCAAGTGGACACTTTTTTTTTTCCTATTGATGTAAAAATAACAGTCAGCATTATTCATCATGATTATTGTGCAAATTAATTTAACCATTTCATGGCATACAGGCAAAAGAATACCATTAAGATTCACTTATACTTCAGTTAATTGAACTGATTTGTACTTTTTGGCCCATCATACAGCAGCTGAAGCATGGATCAGAGAGTTGAAAGAGAATGGACTGAGTTTGTAGCCCGTCCCGCTGTAGAACTTATTCTGAAACTCCACCCTGCGAAAGAGACGATGTAAGGATTAAAAAAAAAACAGAACGAAACACACGGCTCCGATTTCACTGCCAAATCATCACCAGAACGATCTGTGAAAAATAAATTCAGTGAAGCATTTTTTTCTTCCTTCCTCACATCCTTACCAGTGCAGACGGAGCGCGTGCAGGAAAGCCGAGAGCCCCTCCATGACCAGGAGGATGGAGACGGTCAACACGGCGAAAGCGGCGAAAATCACAAAAATCAGAGCCGACCCGACGTAGCCCTCCCACCTCAGCGCCAGACGCATGACCATGACCCACAGCACCTCTGACAGCTCTGTGGAGACAACACCGGTGACTCACAGTCACGGAGCCACGACTGGTTGGAAAAACAGATGAATACCAGACCGGGCAGGTTTGACTCCAAAAGAGGAAGTCATATGTGTGTGTGTGTGTGTGTGTTAGTACTAACGTGCGTGAGCCAAGCTGAGGGCCCAGAGCCGCAGGTAGGAGGCCGTGTTGGAGATGCAGCCCAAGCAGTACTCGATGGTGTGGATGGCCTGATGCATGAACACGTCCGCAGCATCGAACTCCTGCAGGCGACGCGGTTCGGATCGTCAAATTAGAAGCATGAGTGCAGCAAAGAAAATTGAATCTTGCTTCAGAAATTCAATCACAGTTACCTCCTCGTCAGCAGGTCCGCCCTCCACCTCCCCCTGCCGAGTGTTGACAGAGCCGTCTTCGGCCACCAGCGGCTGTCTTTCCTCATCCTGATATCACAAAGAGTCCAAATCTAGCAAACGATGCACTTCAGTCTAAAAAAAACAAAAACAGATAAAGCTCGCTGAACCCTTAAGACTTACGATGTGTCGCCGCCGCTTGGATTTGAACGCGACATATTCACACAGGGGTTTCCCCAGCAGGAGGACAGGGACTGAACACAGGGCCAGCACCACCAGGACCTTCTGAACTATAAGCTGCAACATGGAGAACAAACACATGTTCAATAACAGCAACAAGACAGCAGGCAATCTGCTCATGTTAGTTTATACAAATACCTTGGAAAAGTAGTAAACACGTTCCCTCTAATAAACCGAGCAACAACTGCAGCACTGTTTGCTGTTACGGATGAGCATATAATTGGATTCATGTGCTTCCATTAAACTTGGAATCTGATCTCTGATTAACAGCATCACGTTTACAGAAAAAAAAAAATAACCTCAAGCACACAAGTGAAACAAGCATGAAGTACATTATGGTTACTCTGTGCATCGAAACAAACAATTTTGTACATTTTCAGCAAAAAAATCCAAATTTTTTAAATAATTTCATTGCATTATAACCTCAAACTGCAACGATTCTTTGGGGATTTTAAGTAATTGAACAAAACAAAAAAAATGCACAAAGTGGAATGACAATGATAAACATCCAAGACATTCTACGGAAAAAATAAAATTAAATGCTCAAGCGTGGCGAAGACACAGCATGGATGCACAATGCCACATACATCCGTCTGGATGCATCATTCCTACCGGTTCTACAACATATTGACTCCAGGCAGCGGGATATGAATCCACAGAATTTGATGGTACAAAAATGTTGAAAAACATTTATAATTTTGCTTCACTTTCAAAATCATGTATCTTGTCATGTTATTCTATCACATAAAGCCTCAATGCGTTGTAGTTTGTGGTTGTAAAGTGATGCAAATAGTTTTTGGAAAGCAAAGCAAAAATCAAAACCCCCAATGGATATTAAAAAAAAAAAACAAAAAAAAAAAACATATGTAATATTGTCACTTTAAAGATCCCAAGCAGAACAGGAAAACAAATAAATCCCGCATCTTCCTGAGTGCTGAAAAAAAATGAGCGCATGTGTATTATGGCAATGGCCTCCATTACATATGTGGCTGTTGTGTTGGAGCACACACCTGACCCGTGTACAGCTGGGGGTTCTCCGGGTTGTCTGTGAACAGGAACATGTCGATGAAGTGGATCAGTATGCTGGGAGCGATTCTGGACTCAGCGGGCGTGTAGACGATCCATTTAAAGACCACCATGAAGACGAGGTACCCGAAGAGGCACAGCATGAAGAACAGCTCTGGGAGCAGCACAAAGAAGATGCTGCTGATCTTGCCAAAGTGCCTGAAGGAGAAACACCAAGACAAAAGTGAAAATCAACTCCGCAGGACACAGAAACCGGGCCAGACGGATGTGAGAGGAGGACAACAGAGAAATAAACCAGATCACTAACCAATAGTTGAAGAACGACAAGCAGACTCCAAACGTCATGTGAATGATGCCGACGATGACGGACATCTTCATCTTGTATGAGTTTAGGAAGGTTAGCTTGTTATTGGCCAGGCCCCAGACCTGACAGCAATCACAAAAAAGGCAAAATAAGGTTGGCTTCAATTCGGTATTTCATTAAAAAGAAATGATTAAGGAATCTGCCGGCTGTACCGGGTCGATCCCAAAGGGATACGGGCTGGTGAAAACCCCGGTCACGTTGGGATCCATGGACAAGAACTGGTTCCCCCGCAGCACCGACGAGCTAAAGAAACGCGGTGGGTTAGTGACGAAACAAAGAAAAACATTGTTGAGAAATTTAAAGACCTGTCCTCACTTCCAGATGTTCTTGTCAAACATTGGGCCGACGTGCCACCCCGAGTTGAAAGTTTTCATGCCTCGGCTGAAACACTCGTTGTAAATGGCTCCCGTGTAGATGGAGAAGAGGCCCATCAACAGAATCAGATATCGTCCTCCAAACATCATCTTCCAGATCTGGAAACGGAAACACGTTTCGCTTACAGCCAAAACCTTGGAATGCCCCACTCCAAATGTCTTAAACTAATTAAATCCACTTTCGGAAGAGCAATGTTTGATTGGATTTATGCGTCATTTGGCCAATTTCCAATTCATTAGGGTGTAAAGAAAATGGACGGACGGACGGACAATATGAATAAAACACAGACAGGATATATAAGCTCTAACTAGAGATGAACTCAGAAAAAAAGCGTTTATTGTAACTGAATTCAATAACTATAGCTTAGCAGTGATTTTTTATTTATTTTTCTAGTTTCCATGAAAAAAAAACAACTAAATCATTGAATATGACTTTTAGAT